CCTGGCGTTTCCTTCCTTCTCGTTTCTTCCTTCTCGTTTCTTCCTTCACGTTTAGGATGGATTCATGCCCGTTACGCGAGCATTAATCACCAAACCCGCAGCATGGAGTTCCCTGGAGCGACGCCGCAACGCTATTACAAAACCACGCACTGAAAGTGATCTCGCCAACACATCTGACCCTCTCGTTCTTACGCATACGACCTCTCTCTCCTCAGCTCCGCATCACCATCAGGTTTCCACCCTATGGGACGAGAGGGAACATGAGGCGTCAACGAGCCCACACAAGGGACCCTGCATGTTAATTGGGTGTCATGGATATGCGGTTAACGATGGTGTGGCCCCACGTCCAAACGGATGCGAAAATACACAATCCGTGGCGTTTGTGCCACACAAAAACGAATGTGCGGAGGCGTGTTGCAGCTCCTGCGGGGCGCCCGTACCAGATGGCTCGCTGCGGCTGACGGTGTTAGACCCCTGGGGGCAAAACGAAGAAGCTGCCAGCAACTACCTAGGTGGTCACTTTGAAGGGAGCGAAGGAGAGCGACAACAGCGTGCGTTCACCGCGGAAAGAGGTCCAAGTATTAGTAGCAGCAGAAAAAACGTTTGCCCTACTGACGATGGGGTAGACCTACTTCGCCGTCACCACAGCAAGCGTTCTCTCCGTGCAGGGGCATTAGAGGATGGTGCTGACACAGGACGTTATCCATTCAAAGAAACTGAGGACAATGCGCTCCTCAGCTCTGGTGTGGATGAGGAGTGTGGGGCACAACAGGGTTCAGCGCATACTTCGACCCCTGCCTGCACGCGGGCGAGCGCCATTGCTATTTCACTGTTTCAGCGGCTGTTAGGGCAAACCATGCTATCACAATACTTTAATGCATGGTGGAGATTTATTCTGTTGAAGACCCATAAGCCAAAGGGGACAAACGCCTTGGCGCTTGCGGCGCCTGGAGCTGCCTCGCAGGGTTCGGACCCATCACGTTATCACGTCTCTGCCCCCGCGCATTTCGAAGCTAGCCGGATACCGTTGGGGTGGAGAGAGTTCTCTGAATCTCCGGAATTTATAGGTAGCACGGCTTTCGTGGGAGAAGAGGTGCTGAGGGCGGGGCCTAATTTTGGACATTTGTTCACTGCTAGCGGAGAGCGGGGCACGCATTCGTCTCGGTGTTTGGTGTCGATGAATCCTGCGTTATCTGGCGAATTGACTGAATGTCTTTCGCTCTCTCCCACCCATCAACGTTCACTCGTCCCACGTCGATTGCGGCACCGTGGAATCGATGGGCGCTCACGACAAGGGGGCCTGGATCACACACACGTTGCACGGCCCCTGGACTGGAGTGGTCTGCTGGAAGGCGAGGAGGTGGCGGCCCGCATCTCCCTCAAAGGTGAAGAAGCAAGACAGCGATGCGAGCTTCAGTCGAACGCACAATGTGTAATGGACAATCTTCTCATGATTGCCCTCTGCGGAAAGAGGCGGGTCTCCCTCCCCGTATCTCTCCGTGCAAAGGCCTTTGTGCAGGTGGAGGAGGCTGACACAATAGAAAACTGTTCAACGCCGCACTTCGTCGAGGCGAATCAGCTCCGCCTACCGTTAAGGCCACGAACTAAGTGGGAGGGAGGTGTTCCCTTTTCCGGAGGTACCGCGGTAAGTCCTGGGGCAGAGGGACATGCCTCCTACCGTGACCGAACCCCCATATCTTCTGACAAATATACAAGAGAAGGAAGCTTAGGTGAGGCACCTGCAGAGCCACAGCTGGAGAAGGTTTTAGCAGCAGCCGCATCAACGCCAGAGACTCATTTGAGTAGAAACAAATTCCCCGACCCTCCTCTACACGATAATTTTTATATGGACTGTGATGAATGGAAAGGTGAAGGTTTGCCCTGCAGCGACCATACGCATGGTCTATCCAGCTCTCCCGGGGCGGAGGTTAATACAGGGGTTCCGCAAGGGACTCAGGAGGTGGTATTCCCTCTGCCAACAGCAGGTGCAGTTGCCCCAACTCAGTCCACTCCACAGCGTGAAATTGAGTATACGACAGCAAATACACCTATCACTCTGGCACGGACGAATCGCAAGGGATTGCCACTTACTGTGCCAGACGGTCTGTGGTGCTCGGAGCTACACATCAGGGAGCGGTTGCGCCGTCGCCAACTTGTGGCAAAATATTGCGAAGGCCTTGAACTCATCATCTACGCATGTTTCAGTGACGCCGTTCAACTTGCTTAGGAACCTGCAACAGTAGCCACTTCTTTGCAAGGCGGACGAAAGCAAGACAGAAGCAGGGGCCAAACCGGGGGAGTGTGTGTGTGTGTGGCGGTCGTCACCGAATGTTTGGAATATTGTTCCAACGTCTTTTTTCCTTTTTTTTTTCGCAGCTTCTTTTTTTTTTGTTGTTTTTGCAGCCTTCGCTTGCCTTCTGAGATCCCCAGTATGTGTTTTATTGTTTACTTTTTTTATTTGATGTATGCTACTTTTTTTTTTTTTTTTTAGTACGAAGGGGCCGCTTTGAATGTCACCCTCCTTATTTGCATTATCCGTGTGCATGTGAGTACATGCTACTCCCGCCGCCGATTTGGAAAAGCGATGCACCGTGCAGTGCACCCGCCGTGTCGGGTGAGCGGGGGAGAGAAAGGGGAAAAAGGGGGGGGGTGGGGGCTATATATTCAATATCAATGTAACTGGAAAGAACGCACGAAAGCGAGCTGCCTTTTTTTTTCCCACGTACACTTTCTTTAAATACGTTGTTCCGCACACGGCCATGCCTTTTCCCCTCCGCATTTGCGCTGCTATGTTTACTTGTTTTTCTCTCTCTGCGCGGTCCAAATGCTGCATCTGGTGCACCTTTCTCTGGGACAACGACCTTCTGCATTTTTGGTGACTAGACGGCTGAGTGCAGCCCGCATTTATTTCTCCTCGCTTTTTTTTTGTTTTTTCTCTCTCTCTGTGTGTGTGCGCGTTTTCTTGCTTGGCTTGAACGTCTCTTGAGAAGAGACACAGAGGGCAGAAGCTCGTGTAGTTTTCCGTGCACATGAGGCGCACCCACCCCGCCGTGTCTTTGGCGCCATGAGGTGCTTGCGTGATGTGTGGGTGTGCCCCGCCAGCCGGGCGAGCGACTTTGCGGCTTGGGCCGCAGACGTCAACGGGTGCATACACTTCTTTGGATGGATGTCGGGAGGGCGGTGCAGCACAGAACGCCCTCCGTCTTGCTGGCTGTGGGGGAAAGAATGCTCCCCGGACTTCTTCCGGCCGCGCAAGCTCCCGTGCCTTTTGCCTTTGCTGGGAGAGAAGGGGCTGGTTTGTCGAGGCCGGGACACCGCCCCATTCGTGCTCAGCGGGACTGCCTTGTACCTTTCTTTTTGTTGTTGTGGGTTGCTGCGGCCTCGCAGTGCGGGTGATTGTGGCGCACTGGGAGTAGTGATGTCGGGGGCGCACAGAGTCTCGGGGGAGTGGGATGGACTGCAAATATCGGTCTGGCGATGTTTGTGGTTTTGCTTGTGTGTTTCACTGCACATGCGGCCTGCAAATTCGCCTCGGCGGTACGGTGTTGCGCGGCCACACATGTCTCTCCGTCTCTGATGACGCTTTATTCCCTGCTTTCTTTTTTTCGTTTTTTTTCTTTGTGTATACGTGTGCTGGTGGTTGTGTCTTTTTTCTTTTTTGCTTGTTGGTCAACGCAGGCTCATCGTGAAAACAAAGAGGCGCACGAAGAAAACAAAACTGCACAGAACAAACATCTATTCATACACACACACATATATATATATATATATATATATATATATATATATATATATA